TGTCAATACAAAATTAGCTGTGTATCTTCAACCAGCATCATTGACTTTTAAGTCCCAAATGCACGCTGCCATTACATTCTGAACAATGACAGTATCTCTAAAGTACCTGGTTCAATTTCAGAGGGTAGGAAGGTTTAAATTCATTAAACATTGAAAAATAACAATATAATGGCTAACACAGAAATTAAACATTCCAACATCTTTTGTTGTGTCTTGTTTGGGTTTTGGTGGATTTTGTTTTGTTTGTTATTTTTCTTTTAGTTTGGTGCACTTCATTTCTTTTTCTTTTTTCTTTCCCTTAGAGCACCACTACATTATTATTGTCCACTCTAAGGTTTCTTGGCATGGGTAGGTTGTGATTGGTTTATTGCTTAGATTTCTGGGTTTTTTTTACACTGGTATATCAACATTCCTCTCCAGAAGAAATTTGAGAAATTTGCCTTGAACTTTAAGAATTCAAATACAGAGTAGGGGAGAGAGAGAGAGAGAGAGAGAGTCCTCAGTGTAGAAAGGAGAAAACTAGAAAGCTGTTTAAAAAATAGAACTAAACTTCTGCACTTACACACTTTACTAAGAACTTACACCAGTTCTTCCACATAATGGTTTGATGCCTCAGACATTTCAGTTAATCACATTGCTTGAAACAAACTCCACACAGCTTTCATAAAACCTACTAATTCTGGAATCTCTATGACTAGAAAGGCATAAACAGAAATAAAAGGAGACATGTCTCAGACAATTTAAATACAAAGCCAAGTGCTTGATTTCTTCCTTTTTTGGATAACAGTCATCTATTTCTGTATTACAGACACACGCATGCTACAAAGTAAAAGAAATAAATGACAAGATTAAGAAAAAAAACAGACTCCACACCTACAGCTCCCTAATTCTTGCAGGCTGTATTTAAAGTATCACAGCAAGTCCTGCCATGTAGAATGAGCAGCTCTGTAGCTATGGCTGGAACATATGAAGCAGAAATAGACACAGCAGATTTCTGTTTCTCATTGAAGCAGTTTGTGCTACAAACACAGCTGCACCACAGATACCACTGCACTCAGATAACCAGACACAGCCAGAGTAAATAGTAGTATTTCTAAAATTCTATTTACTTTCTGAGATGCTGCTTAGTATTAACCAGTGAGGCCTCAGAACAGAACTACACATAACAGGCACAGATCTCGATACTTGTGGTACTACATCATCATTGCTTCAGAGAAGATACATAAGTCCACCCAAAAGTCATTGATATACATGCTGAAAAAAATACATCTTGTGTCTGTAAGAGTACCAAGTATCAAAAACAAATGGGACTGTTACACTAATATATCATTATATTTGAGCTATTTCTTAATATTTTGTGGGTTTGGGTTTTTGGTTTTTTTTGGTTGGGTTGGGGTTTTATTGGTTTTGGTTTTGTTTTTTTTTGGGGGGGGGATTTTTGAGTTTTTTGTTTGGTTTGTTTTTGTTGGGATTTTTTGTTATTGTTGTTTTGTTGGGTTTTTTTAACTGAGATAACAAGACTGTATTGGTCACATTATTCTATTTTCTGGGAAAAACAGCAGGGAACATAGAAATGTAAGAACACTCCCTGGCATTCATCCCTTCCCAAAGCATGACAGAAATTTCTGAACTTTAAGGAAATGTCTTTTAATCTACAGAGCAGCAGTGAAAATCCTTCTTTATTGGCACATCTATCAGAACAAAGTTCTGGTTCTTCACATTCCTTGCCTTGTGCACTTGCCAGTAGAAAGAAAAAAATCCTTTAGAATGGCTTCAGTCTCCCATTTAGACATCTGCAGTGTCCTGTGAAATCAATCTCATCATGAACATGTCTATATTTAGGCCCCTGAATTGCACAAGTGTTTTACTGCAGAGTTGCAGTTGCATAGGAATACAGGACAAGGACCACCAAAGCTTTGTCTAGTTCATGCTCTGACAACATGGCTCTATTTCTTTTCACCACTTCTCTCTTTCCTTTGCCCATTCTTGCTGTAAATAACTATATTTTGGCATTCTTGTTGCAATCTACCTCCAGCATCTCTAATGGGGTAGCTATTTACCACACTGCAGCTCATCAGATCGCTGTCATTTCAGCGCTGCTTTATGTGCTGCATACGTCAGATTTTTCATCTGCTGGCAGGAAGTCTGAGCAATGTGTCCTCAGCAAGGATGCACTTATTTCCCTCATTGCTTCCTGAAGAAGTGGCAAGACATGTATAATCATTTACAGGATTTCTTACTGAGTGCTTTGAGCAAATGTGTCACATTGAGTTATTCTGCTCTCTGATAGATATTTGAACCTTAAAAGAAATGTTTAAGCCAAGATAGACAGTTTGAAAGTAATAGATCCTTGGAGGAAAGCAGCCTTGAAAAAGAATTACAGCCTAAAGAAGGCACACTAAAAGCCCAGGCAAGTTTTGTGGCAACACTGTAAACATACCCAGAATAGTCATGAAAGAGATATCTAGGAGTATTTTTGTAGAAAAGGGCAATTTTGTCCCCCTCCAAAGTTGCTTTCCAGTACCAGCTACCACAGAAGATTCCTTTATAATTCTTCAGAATTCTCACCACGGGTGCTGTCATGTTCCTACAACACAGGGTTTAAGTGTGCTGCTCTTACAGGAAAGGGTGTAGTGTCTAACATTTTCTAGGGTTGGGACAGCAATGGTTTTTCATAAAAAACATCAGATATAAGGTTCTGCTCACTTCCTTTCCATAGGATAGTCATGTTGTTGGTTCTCCTTTTGATCCTTAATAATTTATTAAGGACAAAGGAAATCAGACTCAGATTGAGCAGTTTTGAGCCAAGATTTAGACTACAGAAAGCACTGCAATATTGCATATTAGTATAAGCATAGAAATTCTTGCAATCTGTTAGTTCAACTCCCTATTCCTCCCTTCATAAACAAATGCTCACAATTAGTTTCTTTCTCTTTAATAAAAGCAGGATTTTTAACACATTAGAACAATGAAAATTAATCCTCACACACCTCTGTCAGCATAAACCTTTTTATCTCCCTCATTTATGTAATTTGAACATTAAGTACAAAAGGTGAAAGTATAGATTTTTTTCAAGATTGCTTTACTAACAAAGATCAGATTCAGTACTTTTCACTGAGGAAAGTGAGCTGAGACATCAAAGTGAGCAGGACCTCATTCACCAGCTCAGGGGACTGACTGTATTTACCCACAGCTACAGAAACACTACTCTTGATTCAAGAGTCAGCTCTAGTCCAGCAACTGTATTTTGTTTGCATAACTTTATAAGTAATTACTTTGTTACCATTTCTTGCTGTTATGACTTCAGTCAGTTCTGTCTTGTTTATGCTGTTAATTTCAAATATGAGCCATAGTGCCCAAAACAAACAGAAGCTTCAGAAGAGGCTGCTAAACAAATCCTTTAATAGGCCTTCTTATAATCACACCTTTAGCATTTATTTAAATGCATCAAAAATGGTTTAAGACCAAAATCCTTAGAAGCAGCCCAAAAAACCCCACCTGGATAGGATATCAGTGAATAGCCATTTGAGTCATAAAACATGCTCATAAATGAACCAGACAGATTCTCCAGGTTCCATTGCACAACTCCACTGTTTCAAAGTGTTGTGTTCCAATAATCTAAAGTCATCTGCAATAAATTGTCAAACACCCTAGAAAATGTGAATTCAGATGTCACAGTGGAACTCAGACTGGTATAACTGAGTGGAGTTCCAAAGCCTGAAGTAAATGGGGGTTGAAAAGACATTATTTCAAAAAATCTTTAATTCAGGCCTACACGATCTACAACCGCAACTTTATTTCTTCTCTCTCCTCTTTTTGGTATTAATTCACACCCTTTGTCTTATATTAAGTTTGCTGCTGACATCTCAGGTGAGAACAGTGGCTTCCTAGAGGAGATGCAGCACTTTACATAATGGGTTCAGTGGATTTTGGCCTTTTGCCTTTATCAGCACACAAACTTTGCAGTTTTATGTAAATTCTGAGCATGTGCATTCTTTCATATTCCAGTTTTTGCAAAAACACCAGTATTGGGCAATTATCTCCACCCTTAAACTATTCAAGCTGACATGAGATCCATCAGAAGTCTCACACAAAGGCTAAAATCATGGCTTCTAGAATTTTATGACTGCATAGCTCAATCTAATTCCTACAGTTTGAAATCACTTGAATGAACTTCGAAGTTGTGCTAAGTAATAATGTCTTGGGTCATTAACTTTAACACTGCCAGCTTGCCCTCATGATTGCATTTACTTTAATTAATGTAAGTTAGTAATTAATGGCACACTTAACAGAAAGGACTGCCTTAACACATTGCCAGTTTTTAACAAATAAAGCAATCTCAAAGTGCTTCAGGCAGGACTGGAAATAATATGTTGCAGGTGGCAAGTGCAAAGACAAAAAGGCAAAGTCACAGTGTTTTGTGTGTTTTTTCCTAAATCTAGGTGCAACAGGTGTAATTGTCATGCTAAAAACTTGGACCACATTTTATCACATTTCATCACATTTCTTTTGATTTTTCAGTACTAAACTTGATTCATAATAAAAATCTTCAGCATGCAGATTCTATGTAAAATTATGAAACTGTTGGAGAGAAACATGTTAGTTATTTGAACAGAGCAATGAGGACATCAAAACAGAGCTCATTAAATAATTGTGTACCAACCACCTACTACCTTGAACAGCTCTTTTACAAGAACACTTGTTGTTCAGACCACATTCTCCTCCACCCAATTCATCTTTTGCAAGTTTTCAACTTCTGGTGAAACTTTGACCAAACCAAGCTTTATTCAAGGGATTAAGGTCTTCAAAACCAGTTTACTCAATCTTCCATAAGCTTTTGAGGGGGAAAAAATTCTGAAAAAGAAAATATTTCCAGTAGCAGAAATAACACATAAGAATTGCAGTATGGCATATGGTAGAAAACTCATTTTGTAAATACTCTGCTCCATAAAAATACTAATCCACATGGTGACTTTTAACTTGAAGACTGCTTACTACACTTTACAAAGCCAAGAGAACTTTATTCTGTCGGTGTAGCATTTAAACAACATATTTGAAGAGAATACTCCTTGACAGACCTGGATCAATTATCTGAACTGGCAGATTGTACAGCACCATATTGATATGAGACAGAATTTGATGCTAGAATGAGGTATCAAGTATAGCTGATACACAAAACAGTAACATGAAAGGAAACTCATCAAGGGGGAAGCTCATTTCTTTGACTTTTCCCTCTCCATTCTGAAAGACATAATGAGAGCATAGGCCTACTTAGTTTTGTATGACATTATAACAATAATCATTATCCTAAATGTTTTCACTGGCAGGGGATGAAAAACTAAAGACCTAGGAAGAATTAAAAATAATTCCAGATATAAGATTTCTTTTGGATGATTCAGAAAGCCATCTGTCTTCCAGAATTAAGAACAATTTACTTTGAGAGCCATCTGTGGGAGACAACTGCACCTGAAGTCTGGCAGAAAGCACATTTTTCTTTTAATGACTCATTAGTTCACTTTCTCCTCTGAGAATGATAAAGCTTCCATTCCTGTCTTTGGAGAGGAGGTTAAAATATTGGGAAAAAGTGAGAGAAAATGGCTAAAACCAAAGGGACAGCAAAGAACAGAAAAAGAACGTTGGAGAGGGAGATGCACCACATATCCCCAAATCTTTGATTTTTATTTCCTTCCCTAAGGCTGCACCCTCCATCACCACAGTGGTGAAGGATTCATGTGGAGATATTAAAAGTCATGAACAGGTGGGTGGGAGTCCTTTCAGTCATGTGTAACCAGGGAGGAATCTCAGAAACGCCTCAATAGATCCCTGTCTTCTGGTCCGTGCACCATCCCTAGGTCTGCATGAGGACTCTGACAGTGCAGAAAAAGAAGCTCTACTCCCATTTGTGAACTTGTTCTTTTCATTACAGCCTCAAGTACTAGAAAGGAAAGCATCTGTTTAGCTTAAATGCATGGATATAAAACTGTCAGTGTACTCTGAAGTATAGTCTAAATATATGTTTGGGAGTTATAGAATAATTATAAAAACATAAGTAATCATAGACACTTTGCAAGCCCAGCATTAGAAATCAAATCATTGTACATACTCAAAATCTCTAAATCTAAAATCCAGATCACATAAGTACAAGCTGGAGCTAGAAAATTAGTTTAAACAGATACTTAAGGAGAGGAGAACCCTGAGAAAGTTATGAATTGAAGAAGTCACCACAGGAGAGTCTGCAGAAGTGACAAGCAGTTATGATATTTTCATCCAGCTGTCAGTGCCAAGAGATTCCACAACATGGGGACCCTCTACTGTCACGCTACTGTCATCTCATCCTGGCCACTTTACTTGGTCATTGCCACCCTGTTTTCTGACTACCCAGAACAGGGTATTCTAACTAAGAGATTGCAAGTCACCTGGCATCAAAACCATTCATCATTCTCACATTCGAATGCAATATCGAGAGATGCATTTCTGAAGGAACAGAGCCAAACAAGTAAGACTAAATTAAAGTAAGGACAACTGAAGATTACCTTGTTAATATGCAGACAAGATACCAAGATAAATAGATTACAAATTATTATCTGTCTTCATCTATATCTATAGAGATACAAGAAAATATTTAAGAGGAAAACTAACAATGTGCAATGATTTAGAATAGTTTAAGATGGAACAAAATAATGCCAAGCAATGATCTGTAGCTTACTATCACATAGCAGATAGGAAAAAGTCTGAACAACTCAATTATTTGAGGGGTTTTAGGTATCCTCTAGAAATTCTGCCACAATTCCCACCAAAGAGATGCACTTTCCAAACTCTTCCTTCAGACATATCAGCAACTGGCATTATCAGTAAATAATGAACAATATCTGACTGAGGTCGCTCAGTCAAGGGGCATGATCTGTTTGTTGCACCACAGATATTTCTACGATGCTATTTTACCTTGGTTTCTCACACTTTTTACAGCTTTCATATATCACTGTTAACCCAGCACTGTAAAAAGTGATTTCTTTAAAACTGCATTGGACAACCCCAGCCATCATGTTGATGTTATTTCAGAGGACACAGTTGGGGATAGATATGGATGTATATGGCATCAAGTTCTGAACTAATGTTTCAGAACAGCTTTGTCAAACCTTATCAAAAATGGCCATTTTTTTTTTTCCTTTCCTTTGCACACAGACCTCCTCTACATGGAGCTGAAAAGCCCAGAGCTTCTGGATAAGTCATCTGGAAATCACTTCACAGTTAGAACCACAGTGAAATCCTTCCTCTTGACAAGATGTATTTCAGGCAAAGTCTGTCAATACACAAGGGCTTTCAATCCAGCAAATTCCAGGAAAGTGTCCACAATGGAGTTTCTAATTCTCTGTAGGTCATATATTTGAAAATTCAATGTAACATAATTTAAATAGATATTAATAAAACCCAGAAACTTCCCCCCCCCCCCCGTTTCATACTTCTGCTCCACAGCCATTGAGTTTGGTTTGAGGAAGTAGTACAATATGTGATACATGCAGAGTGACAGAAGTCACCCAGTTTCAGCATGCTCACATGTACAGGCTTCAGTGATGCCCACAGAGGTTACTTCTTATGCCCAATCACACTGAACAGCAATGAACAGAGTCAGCTGTAATTAGTTCTTCACTGGCTTTGCAGGAAGGCTTGTGTTTGGGGCCATGCATCTGTGGGTTGAAATTTTTAAGAAAGAGCAGAATTAGAAATTGTTGGCAAGCTTACAAAAATAATACAGATGAAGTCTGACAGGAGTCAGAGTGCTAAGCTAAGACTTGCTGTAATTGAAACATCAGGCAATGGAGAGGCTGATTAAAATCAACATTTTCATGTGACTATTTTGGTCCTCCAGGACATGGTCCAGAGACCAAATTGCTAGAAATTAGTCATGCCTTACTCATTACCCTAAAGGCACAGACTTGCATACAAGAATTTGAACATATAACTGGAAAAACTCACTGTTGTTCAAATGGGATATTTTTTAAAGAAAAGTGACAAAAAGCCACAAACAAACAAAAAGAAAACCCCAAACCCACCGAAACCTACAAAAAGCCTTATCAGATTTAGACAGATCCATTATTTCCAATATTTCCTTTGTTTCTTTGAAAAATGTTTCTACTGAACATCTGTTGATTTAATATATATCCTACCCACAGCAGGATAAAAATGTATGAATGATCATGTTTTACCATCACTATACACAAAAACACAGTGTAGTCAGTAACTAAATTTTGGAAAGTCATTAGTAAATTCTATTACAGATTAAAGGATTAGAAACCAGTTACACAGCTTTATCTGCATTGCATTATTTGTATAAGTCTTAAAGTAAACTAAGTATCTATAACATACAGAAGATGTTATATCATATGGAAAAAATATATATATGTATCAAAGCTGTAGTAGGAGGAAGAATAAGTCCCTAAAACCAACCAAAGAGATCATTATTTTACTTGAAAAGAACAGTTTTCTTGAATTCTTTAATTTTAAGCTCTGTTAATTAATTTTAATCTCACCAAGTGAAGTCCTAAATTAATCATAACCAAAGGTCCTTTTCTGATTACTAGATTACCAAGGGATGAAATTATAAGTTTTATTAAACCCAAAATTTTATGTTATTAAATAATGAACTAAAATTCAGGGCTTAAAATTTTTGGAAAAAACTTAAGGCAATAGTGATTCATGTAGTTTTTGAAATTTCTAATGTCAAGCTATGTTTTAAATGTAGTATGAAACTACTGAACAGCTTTTGAATTACACATAATGGTAGACAATTATTTAGCCTCTTTCAAAGTCAAGGAAAGGTTATGTTTCCTAGACATTCCTTCCTCTCTTCGAGTCAGTAAAAATCCAATAAGGCCTCAAGTCTAGAGAGGTTTCATTTGTTTCCAGATTCATTACTGGTAGAGCTACTAACTTCCTGCAAGAATCTTTCCTTTAAAACAAACATTCATTTGTCAAGAGCAGACTAAAACAAACTTGCTCTGTGATGCACACAATAAAAAATTTCCTTTGTGAATACAAACTAGTATCCTCAAAGCATGTCTCAACTGAAAACAAACACTGAATGCTTGGATTTCCTATTCTTCCTTATAAATACTGAAAATTTTGCATCAAAAAGGTTTACTAAATTTTCCTGTGTTTACCTCTAGTATCCAAGATGTACATGCACCAAGATCAACTGAAATGCAGCAATATCACATTAACACTAAATAAACAAAGCCAAACAGTCAGAAATTAGTTTTGACTCCTTCCCCCTGCAATTTATAATTACTCTATCAAATCCTCTAGGAAGGCTGGTGTTCAGTTGTTAAAGGCAGAGCTGTTGCATGACAAACAGTGCATCACTTGTGACAAACAAGGCAGCCATTACTACTCCTGTCTCATGAATAAATATCATAGCCAACCTGAGAAGTGGGTTACTATCAATATAATATGTTTATTATATATAATTCAAATGAGAAAAAGTTATGTTTCAATGATCCATGATATTTAAAATCATGGTGCTTGACTGCAACTATCAGCACCACAGCAGGATACATAGAATGAAGCAAGAAAGTAATTTCATTTCCACACGGCTCTCTTGAAACCAATTTTGAAGTGCCTGAGCACAAAAAGAAGCCACTGAAAGACTGCTGTAACAGCATTTTGAGCCTATACTATTCATGTGCACACTATAACTTCAAATCTTATTATTCTGGAAAAGAGATGCAACTACAATCCTAAATTGGGGGGAGGGGAAGTAATAATTTATTTTTTTTTTTTCTTTTTAATATCCTTAGCTGGGAGGGATCCACAAGACTTTCAGAAACCTGTATCTAAACTTAGAGATCAGAAATTTTCTGTCTCTCTCAGTTAGTTTGGTCTTGCCTATAAGGAGAGACCTAGAAATAGGCTGTTGGTCAGGACAGAGAGCATTTTGATATTTTTCATCTAAAATATTAAGAAAATAGTTTTTTTGAGTGCTGGCCACTCCGTTGTCACTCAGAAGGTCTGGTCTGTATCAAAAATTATGTTTCTGAAGAAATAAAATTTGAACTGACATGCAACTCCATCCAAGCATCGCCTCTACACCAGAATTTTATTGTAAAACGTTTTTAGTATACTTAATTGAAGAGATGGGTCAAAAGTTCAGCTACTGATTTAATATTTCATTAAGCTAGGGGACACTATCCACTCTGGTGACCTGCCATAGAGCACAGATTTAATGAATGAATTGCATCTTCTGAGAATTCTTGATTACAAGGTTACTTCTGATCTCCAGTCAGACTGAGATTGTCTTTTGTTAAAGGTGTGATTCCATAACACACAAAAATTGTCATTATAGAAGGTAGTAGGTTTCTGTTCAAAAAGGGTACATAATTTACATTTTAATTATTTACTCTGGAAAGAATATGTTTGAAGGAGAATTTACAACACCATTTAAGACAATATTTGCAATATCACAAAACTCCTAGGTTTATGAAACCATTCTGATGAAGTGATAAGCATTTTCTCCTTGAACAGCGTGATGCCAACCGAACAGGAAATTGGGGTCAAATTCATTGTCCTTCTCATTCCAGTAAGGAAATCTAAACCAATCCTGATTGCAAAGAATCTACAATTAAACAGAAATTACTTCACAGAGAATTCTTTATAATCATCATGATGTAATCAAAGTCACTTACTGTAATAACTTAGGAAGCAACAAGCTCAAAATGAGCAGTGTTTGATAACTTCTAATCAGAACCAATCTAGAAAAAATAAAGGCTTATTTATAGCTTAATTTTTGAAAGAGAGATATGGAATTTATAAGGACCGTGCATTTCTTATACAAAACATCAGATTCTGAGTTTTCAAGTATTCCTGTCTAAGAAGAAAACCACAAAACCCCCACAAACAAATGAAAAAATTCTAAGATAAAATTTTGATATAACCAAAGAAAGACTGACTAGATAAAGTGACCTACTGGATCATGAAGCATCTAAAAGCTCTTTTATGGATCAAGCCATTAAATCAGAGGCTAGAACAGCACCAGCCAGCAGTGTCCAAGTCTGTCTAGAACTGGGATAATTCAAGGAACAAGCAAGCGGGTTCTCTGCTCTCTTCAGCAGCAGGAGCAGAATTATTTCCATGATGTCTCTTATTGCTAAAGAAATAAAGATACTGCACATGTAACTATTGTTAAGACACTACAGCTTTTAGGAAATCAAGCAATGTATTTTACAGTTGCATTTAAAGAAAAAAATTAATCATCATAGATGACAAGGGGTTTATTTCAGGGTTTGGTGCTTTGCTGTTCTGTTTGAGTTGAGGCAGCTATTCCTTCTGATGAACAATGCAAGGAAGGAGAAAAAAGATGTGAAAAAAGGTAACCTTTCTGCTTCTCTTTTGAAAATTGGTCACTTTATTATCCTCACCAGTGCTTTCTGTCTGACTTAAGCCACTCCTCCATCCTCAACAACCAACAGACCATGACAACAGCTAATGTTACCTGCCATAAATGTGGGCCAGCATCTGATGCCCAAAGACAACACTGTAAAGTTTTTTCTTACTGATACTATAAGTGTAATCCTGTTTTCATCAGGATGACTATTGCGTCAATCCTAATAAAAATTTTAGTTTCATTTACAAGAGTTATTTACACTGAAAAGCAATTTCAGACTCTCTAGCCTCTAGGCTTAAACCTAGAAGGAAATTTTCACTCAATATATTCCCTATAAATCATGTATATTTTTTTTCCAAGACTGCTTCTTTTGTACTTCTTGTTCATCTTAACGAGATTTGAACAAGTTATTTAAGAAGCTATAAATCACAATTGAAGATTTGACTGATTTTTAAGCAACCTAAAGTACTTTATTGTAGAGCCTTAAGTCTTAAAAAATCATTTTCTACCTAGTATTTAAATAATTAACTTGTTGGAAAATGTGATCTTTATAAGGTAAGCCTTCAGAACACAGCCGTAAAATGAGTTTGGGACTATGAGAATGCATAATATTTCATTTCTTTCATGCTGCAAGACTTCCTCGTTTGCACATCAAAGTGATTACAACTTATTGCCATGTGCAAGTACACCACAAGCAAAATTTGTGTAGCATCTGTATTACAAACACTCTTATCTTCCACACTATTCCCTTCACATAATGCTCTCCTGTTCTTTTCTTCAAAGAGCTGACTGTAGACAGGGAGGAAAGGGAGAATTATCATCTCTCTGCAGGCAGGAAACAGGATCAGAGTAGCTTAGCTACCTGTTGGAATTGATACAAGAGCCAAGCCTTTCTCCAAAGCAATCTCTGCCACAAGACTGGCATTCCTGCTAAAGCAATACAGAGAATTCCTAAAAAACACCTTGAAATAGCAATCCATACTTTAATTCAGACTGTAATGAGTCTCTCTGCAGAAATTAACTTGGTTCAGAAATCTGAACCCAACCCATTTTCATTCATTCCAGAAGGTACCCAACAGTCAGACCTGGTTATGAACATTGATGGAGAGTAAAGATAACAAAAGCTACTGCTGAAAGGGTTCAGGTTTTAAGTTTAAAATTGTTGTCTTGATTTTGATAAAAGAAAATTAATTTGAAGTCTTCTAAAAAAAGCACCTCTGAGATGTTCAAGATATCACAAATATTATAATACAGAAGAACTCATATTTCCACTGATATCACAAGAATGTTCCATCACCTTCTGAATTG